CTTCTCTGTTCACAAACATGATTGAATGGAGAAGGGGAATGCTCAGCCTCATTTAGTTGTAATTTATCCTAACCTCGAGCTCTGAAAATGAAATTAAATTTGTCAGTCCTGCAATCAGTAGAGTATGAACGGGGTTCAATCAGTTCCTGAAGAGCACTTCTGGTAAATTCCTGCACAGCCCCATACTACATTATGCTTTCAGTTCTTGGATAGAGAAAACAATGACAAAAACAATACATTGCCATTGGGAAAACAGATTTGTTTTACAGGGCTGTGCGGAAATTTTGCTGCACTTCCTTCTGACAGCTTTGTTAACAGCATGTTTCCAGTGAAGGTTAAGTCCGATCAAGCAGATTCAGCTTCTTAGACCTCATCTTACTGATACAAGCTTCTGTCGATCGGTTGACATTAAATTATTGTTACAAGAACCCACCTGACACTCCGAATATTCCTATTGGATCACTCTATATGAACCCAGATTTGAATGCTTTCCTAACTTATAAGTTAACCTTGGAGCGGAAGGCAGTATTGGCCGCTGAAATCTCCCTCCTCAAATGAGATCGAAACAAGGCAGCAACAACCTTTAATTCGGCGCACTTTATCGGAAGCCGTTAAAAACGTTGATTACGCGCCACCGATATTTGAAATAGGGTGGTTACCAAGCGCTTGACATCGATCGCGTTTCTCTTGCGAGCTAGCTCAACAGATTCTAACATTTAACGACTATTTTGGAACTTCTCAAACCTCCAGATAAGTCTCTCGCTTCCAAAGTTATTAATTTTGGTGTTGTGAATGTTCACACGAAAATTTAATGTAATTAATCGCGGCTACGACATCTTACTTTGTTTTCCCAGGGAATCGTTAATTTACCTCATTACCAGAAATCAGAGGCATATTACTTCACGAATAGCGCACGTCAATCAAAAAGCACTGAAGAAATGGCTTCCCGGTTTTACAAAGAAATGTATGGAAGCAAATGCAAAATATCGTATTGTGGTTATTTAAAGAAATCCAATTCTAGGTGCCGACCTCTCACTGATAATATGCAATTGAATTCTGAGGCAAAGGTTTATTAATAATATGCAATTGAATTCCGAGGCAAAGGTTTATTGTCGTATGATGTCGTAGCCGCGATTAATTACATTAAATTTTCGTGTGAACATTCACAACAC